GTGTGTCTGGATGTAGATATGCATACATTTATTTACTTACTCATTTAAACCTCACGACAGCTCTGTGAGGTGGACACTGTTAGTGTCTCCATTTTACAGATGAGGAAACTGAGGCACTGAGAGGTCAAATAACTCTTCAGGTCTCACTGCCATTCCAAGGTGGACCTTAGACTTGTGTATCCAGCAGCCTTGTTCCAGAGCCTGCAGGCCTAACCTCTAAACTCTCGCAGAATGGAATATTTCCAGCACCACGGAAAGTTGTTGAGCAGTCCTGCTCTGAACCGTGCTGTCATTGTAGGAAGTGTGTTCATTCACTCCCGTGGTTTCTAGGTGTCTGCACACAGCAGCTGTGATTCTAGACAGCAGTGTTACAGGGCTGAGGCAAGGAGGGAGGGAGGCTGTAGAGAGGGGACACCTGCAGGACAAGGACAGTAGGTGCCATCTCTGCTTTGCTCTGTGTTCTTCAGGTGAAACACCTTACACGGGACTGGAGAACCACAGCGCATGCCTTGAAGTACTCAGGGACCCTCGAGTTGAATGAGGACCATCGGAAGGTGAGGAGGACCACCCCCGTCCCACTCTTCCCCAACGAGAACCTCCCCAGCAAGATGCTCCTGATCTATGACCTCTACCTGTCCCCCAAGCTGTGGACCCTGGCCACCCCCCAGAAGAACGGGAGGGTGCAGGAGACAGTGATGGAACACCTGCTCAAGCTGTTTGGGACCTTTGGGGTCATCTCGTCAGTGCGAATCCTCAAGCCTGGGAGAGAGCTGCCCCCGGACATCCGGAGGATCAGCAGCCGCTACAGCCAGGTGGGGACCCAGGAGTGCGCCATCGTGGAGTTCGAGGAGGTGGAAGCAGCCGTCAGGGCCCATGAGTTCATGATCACGGAGTCTCGGGGCAGGGAGGGCATGAAGGCGGTCCTGATCGGGATGAAGCCGCCCAGAAAGAAGCCGTCTAGGGAGAAGGCCCAGGAGGAGGAGCCCGTGGCGAGCGCCCACCCAGGCAGGTCCCCGAACCGCAGAGTCGGGGAGCTCCAGTCCCCGGCGGACGAGGCCTCTGCCAGCGGCTCCTCCGACCCCGAGAGCAACCCCACGTCCCCCACGGCTGGCCGGCGACACGGGGCTGCCCACAGGCTCAGCCCTGCCGGCCACCAGAGTCTCTTCCTGAGCCCAAACGCCTCCCCATGCCCGAGCCCTTGGAGCAGCCCCTTGGCTCAACGCAAAGGCGTTTCCAGAAAGTCCCCGCTGGCCGAGGAAGGTAGGCTGAACCCGAGCGCCAGTCCTGAGAGCTTCCGCAAGGGCACAGATTATTCCTCAGACAGCAGTGTCACGCCCTCGGGCAGCCCCTGGGTTCGGAGGCGCCGCCAAGCCGAGATGGGGGCGCAGGAGAAGAGCCCCAGAGCGAGTCCCCTGCTCTCCCGGAAGATGCAGACTGCAGACGGGCTCCCCGTGGGGGTGCTGCGGCTGCCCCGGGGCCCCGACGACACCAGAGGGTTCCACGGCGGACACGAGAGGAGCCGGGCCTGTGTATAAATTCCTTCTATTTTTAATACCAGCTCCACTGAAAATCCCCTTTGTTTTCAAGGTTCTGACAAGTTCCTGGCATGACACAGAATGAAATTAAGTCCCC